GAAGAGCCAGAGGGGAAGAAAAGGGGGGGGAGAGGGGAGGGAAAAGAGAAGGGGAGAGGAGAGCCGGGGAGAAGAGGGACGGTCGGGACGACGGGAGGGGAGAGGTGGAGAGAGAGAGAGAGAGAGAGAGAGAGAGAGAGAGGGGGGGGCGGGTAAGAGCTGCAGAGAGAGAGCAAAGGAGAAAGAAGGAGATAGTCTAAGGGAAAGAGAGTCTGAGACTGAGAGTGGGGAGGCGGGAGACCTGGGGGGTGCGGCAAGAGCTGAGGTGAGACAGGAGGGAGGGATGGGGAAAGAGACAAGGGGAGGGAGGAAACGGGAGACAGGAGAGACGGGGGTGGGACAGAGGAAGAGGGAGGCCAGAGGTCACAGGGAACGAGAGGCGGGGAAGGGAGGAATAGTGGGCGTAGGGAATGAACACTTACACCCAAACCCCAAAGCAGCCGCAAGAAAGGGGGCACTGAGGCCAAGGCGAAGTGTGCGCCCCTTCTGGCCCCCAGGGGCCTGGCCACCTCTTGGTCTCCAATCGGGCGGGCACCGAGGAGGAGAATTGGAGTCCGGTAGCCTTTTCGGTCAGTTTTTGGTGGGGTCGTGTCGCTGCCACTTCTGAGACCGCGGCGCACGGGGAGCGGGGCCGCCGCTTCACAGGTGCAAGCAGTTCCCTCGTGCGCCCCACGTCCAATTGGGATACCGGTGCCTTCAGTGTCATGCCAGTCCTAACTGGCAGAATTCTCTACTTATGGCTTTCCCACATTTTCTGGCTTCGCCTTTGCCAGCTTTTGCCAACACCACCCTTCGAGTCGCGGGGCCGGGGAGCCTCCTGCCTCCCTCTCCTCCCAGGGTCCCACCCGAGGCAAAAACAAACAGCCCCGAGGGCACTTCACGGAGCGTGCAGTGGCCCCGACGGCACACTCGGGAGGATAAAAGAGGCGGCCAGCCACCCCGTCGGCCCCCGGTCGAATAATGGGTGCGCAGCAGATTGCCGGGGGCACTCGAAACTCGAGGGGAGGGAAATACTTGAGCGCGGTCCCTCCCCGCGCCCTGCGAAAGGCGCAGCCTCGCGGATTCTCCCTTGTTCGCTCTCTTTCATGCACTCTCCTTTTGTGTGGAATTATTTAAACGAGAGATCCAAGGCAGCTTTATGCTAATGTGCCGAACAAAGGCAACGGCCCGCGGGCGGGGGCCCGGAAGGTGCCTGGAGGCCGGACCGGGCCGGGCGGGGCGGCGGGCGGGCTGGCTGCGCGTGTCTCTCGCGTGCCCCTGGGACTGACACAACAACCCCTCATTCCTGCAAACACAAAGCCTCTCCCTGGCTCGGGCCCCGCGCTCGCCCCGCGCGCAGGGGCGCGGGCCCCTGCGAGACCTGACGGCGGGCTCGGCGGCGGTAACGCGCGGTTCCTACCGGATAGCGGCTCTAGGACTGGGAGGGCCTGGGGGTGGGGCTTCCAGGAGGTGGGGTCACCCAGGGGGGTGAGTCCAGGAGAGGGGTCCACGGCTGAGTGGGGATGGGGGTGTTAGGGGGCCTTGTCAACCCCCTTCGAGTGTCTCTAAACGCGCCGCGCGGTGAGATTGCGGACCCTCCTGTCTTCGCCTCTCAGGAGCTCAGGGGCTGTCTGGACTCTTCGACACCCCCCGGGGCAATTCCTAGGCCGAAATACCCTCTTTGGTACCTATTTCCAAGCTTCGCACTTTCAAGAAACTCCCCGGAGCTAGACACGATCTGAGGTTCACAGTGAACCCCGGCGTGCTCCCCGACGGCTACCTGGGACAGGAGGACAAAAATATTAAAAAATTAAAAACATAGAAACATCAGAGCGCCTGCGGCCTCCAGCTCCGCCGCCAAAGGAAGAACCCACAACGGGGTCTGCAAGGAAGAGAAGCGAGGTGGCTGCCGATTTTTTCCAAAGTGTTGCCCACGACCGACCCCACAGGAAGGGGAGGAGCCGCCTGAGGCCTGGGAAGGACGCCTCGGGGACCTGCCTTGGATCCCTGTGCTCGCCGAAGCCCGTGAAGCAACTCCGGAGGGAGGCAAAGCAGTGCTCAGTGTTTCCCCGACCCCACTCCACGCGGCGCCCACTCGGAATCGCAGCGCGTAAAGGCCGACCGCCGGAGCGTAGCGTGGTGGCGCTTTGCTCTTCCCAGAAGACTACAAATGGTCTCGACTCGAAGTCCCCATCCCTGCAGGCGCGCAGATTTTGAGAAATGAGATCACTCAGAAGACAACGGAAACTTAAGGACCAGGTGCAAGACTACCTACTTGGAGGGTGCTGGTGTGTGCGTGCGCCGCTCAGCCTAATTCTTCTCTAGCCGAGTTATGAAATTTGTTTCTAATTCTAGTACCTTTCAAATTTCCATTTATTTTTACCGTACTCGTCTGAAAATAGATTTCATTTTTGCTGGCAAGATTAAAAACCACAAATTAAGCAAAGGGGCCATTGCATCTCAGTAGTGTTCAATAGATTCTCTTAACTTAATTCAGAACCCCTTTGAATTCGCTGCATTCAGGCAGGGGTCTTGTTTTGTTGTTGTTGTTGTTGTTTGTCCCCCCTCCCACACCCTCCTTACAATTATGGGTGTTGTTATTTTTAAAGGACTCACAAGGTGACTAACTCTCCCTGTTATCTGTTGAATGAAAGCAGTGTTACGCATGCAAGACCAAAAAACCCCGCAGTCAGTTGCGGACCGTGGGCCGAACCCCACCCTGTGATCCCACAATCCAGATGGGATTCGTGATTAGAAAATAAAATTGGCCAAAGCTGTCCCGGAATCCCTCTCCTACTTCTAATTTCATCAGCAGTATTAATCAGCGCTCAAAAGAGCAAGGAAATAACATCAGTTACTTTTAGATTGAAACATATTTATAAATTTCAGATAAACTCATTTTAGAATTCCTAACTTTTTTGAGGACTAGCATTCATGGCAGTTAGCAATTTTAAAACGAGGGTGAGAGCTTTCAAAATATATCCCATGATATGTATTTTTCTGTTTTTAGTCTGAGTTAAATCACAAAGAAAAAATCATAAACATGGTTCCTTTTGATTAACCAACTTGATTAACCCTTTGATTAACTAAGCCTAACAATTGTTCTCATTACAACTTCTTACTCATGTGGAAAGAAAGAAAAGAAAGGGAGAGGAAGGAAGGAAGGAAGGAAGGAAGGAAGGAAGGAAGGAAGGAAGGAA